AAAGAATATAGAAAATAAATTTTTTAGTTCAAATTTATTTCGACGAATAATAGTGATTGGTGATTCAACTTCGCCAAGTTAGCTTGTGTTTGTTGACTTGTGACCAATCTGCCTATGGTAAACCTATGTCTCATGGTCTGTAATAATATTACATAAATAGTCAGGAGCCTTCACTTAATTTTGCCAAATTTTCAAGACAAAATCTAACTCGTCCTTGCTTTTGTTCATCATTCAATTGATGGGGTACCCAACGTGATGTTACTTTTCTCATCTTGAGACAGTCTTGGACAATTCATTCTATTGTACCATCAGAGAGAGAACTCTCAGCTATAATATCATTATAACTTGAATATGGATTATTATTGATAACCTAACGTACTAATTTAATAATTGCATCTGTAATTTTGCAAACCGGACGACCAGATCGAAGTTCATCATTAGCATCTTCTTTCCCTTCATAGAAACGCGTCGCCCATCTTGCAACTGTTCGATATGATGGAATATTGAGTTCCAAAGCTGTAGTGAGTTTTCGTGAATTGTCTTTGGATCTATTCCCACAAGAGTCCGAATATTTATATAGCATCAATCGATTTCATTATCCTTTAAAACAAAATGTTCTTTTTTAGGTCGAATTAAAGTTTATCCGAAAAACTATTGTAACTAAGTTCGAAATAGGGCTATTATGTATATCATTCTAGGCAAGACATTCCACTATTTATTCATGCAGAAAACTCTTCAATATTAATTGGTTTATAAAATTGCCAATAATGTTGCCAGGGCTTTTGGTCAGTCCTGAGTAAATCGATAAGATTCCTTTTTTTCTCTTGGATACTGCATTTTTGTGAAAAACCTACCACAAATATAGAATTAGAATCAACTGAATCTAAATAATTTTTGAGTGAATCAAATCTCAATTCGTATTCATTTAAGTATAAATTTATGTTTTGATTATAGTTTTTGAATTTGGTGGTAGAAGGGAGACCGCCTGGTAAATTGAGTCGGATAAATTCGTAGACATTATATCTTGCTAACATGTTAAAGATTGATGCAAATTTATTAACAATGGAATCAAATTGGTAATTATTATAACATTTATCAGTATTCTAAAATTTTTAAAAAATTGCAATTTTGTTAATATTATTTCGTCAACATCTAATTATCCATCAGTAAAGTTGTAGAACTGCTCGCTTAAGTAGAAAATAACTTCATCGGATAAATTATTTAAATTGATGATCATCGTATATATTATAGTTTCTAGAGAAAGAAGAAATGTACGTAACGCAAGCAAGGCAATTATAACAGGAAAACCTAGCCTTTTTTCTTTGTTGTTGTGCACACGTGATTATTTCCACGATTAAAAAAAAAGGATGAAATAAATACCAGAAACATATTCTGTTCATTACCCAGACAGCCTGGACGAACAAATTTTAGTCTGTTTTGACTCTTTCTCAAAATAAATTTTCAAAATCTGCATATTATATGGAATCTTTTAGTTTATTTCGTGCTTTCATTTTTCGTTTGGCAACGACAACGTTTCTTGACAACTTTCTACGCGATACTAATAATTATGAGACTTTACCTTGCAGAGCCGAAGGTAATCAGAATAACAACAAAAGCAGAAATCATTAAAAAGCCAGAGTTGTTGACCGAATGCGGTTTTACAAGACAATCGAAAGAAAAAAAGTGAAAGAGATAAAAAGCTATAGGCCTCTACTGATATTTAGAAAAACCGATCAGGTTTATTAGGATACACTTTTCGTCTTGGCTTGAGATTATGAAAATGACTCAACATTGATATATCTTCATTATCAAGAAGAAGGAAAAAGTGTCAAATATTTTGTATTCAAATAAAAATGTTTATTACTAATTATTTTCTATATAAAACAAATGTAATTAAAAAGCAATATCACCAATCTTTATTTCTCATATGACAAAAAAACAAATAAGCAGAATACACACGAATATACTGATATAATAACGAATATGTCAACAAAGCACCTAATCATATTTATTGGTAAGATAATGTCCAACATTAGAATTATGAATACGAAGTTAAGATGACAAATATTAAATGTATGATAATTTAGAAGATAAATATTTTTTTTTGTGAAAAGTTCATTGTTTCTAAATAGGAATGATACGAGATTCCATTTATAAAAAAAAAGGAAATTCATTAAAACAAAAAGAAAATAAGAGTTTTCAAAAGAATTTAACTATTTTATTTTTATCTTTTCATTATCCTTTAAATGCGTACTTGATCGCTTGTTGATGTTACTTTCACTTTCTTTTCCCATCCATAAAGAAATGTAGCCGTTATAACTAGCATTGCCCCCACGAAGAAGAATCTAAATAAAAATCAATCGATAAACGATATTCATGAAAATTAGTTTCTTACAGTGATGGTGTAAAATCATTTAAAACGAAATATGAAACAACTGATGAAAGAATAATTGAAAGAGAAGTTGCAAAACCTTTTATAATATTATCAGCATATTTAATCACAGCAGCTATTATTAAACCACCAATAGCCTGGAGAAAAATAAAGAGAAAAATGATGAGACTATTGAATATCACGCCAATAAACGAGACAGCCGATAAAAGAAAATTATATTTTCTTGTGTTTTCAATGTATCGATGTCAGATATCACCTAATCCAAAAGTTTAGTGACCAATACCTTTCCTTTCCAAAATTAGTCAATACCAGGTTTTTACCACTGTCATGTACTCATGAGAAAAGAACAGTAAAAATATCATCCAGCAGTGGTTCGTGTTTTCGTTTCAACAAATCATTCAAATTCATTTTTTTATAAAGTATGCTGAAAGACAAAGAATTAAAAACAGAACAAAATGAGCTATTTTAATATAGCACAATGCTGATTGACTCAAATTTGATAAGATTAATATGAATAAAAAATGGCTTTATCGATGAATCTAAAGTGTCTGTTTGATAACAATTTATGTTCTGTCGCAATATAGAATTAGAAAGTTCTAAGTTGAATTTTATACAAGTTATGCAACTTTTCATTCTCTACAAAAATGATTTTAAAAAATATTCAAAAATAAATGGTGCCTTCGGGCCAAAATTGAGTTCACATCTCTCTCTTAGATACTAATTTTTCAATAGAAAAAATATTAAATTAAACTCATTAAAAGAATTATATTTCGTTCATGTTGGTCTTATAAAACCGGAATCAGTCAACACTATATTATATTGCAATAGCTCATTTTATTCCATTTTTAATTCTCTATTGTTCAGTATAGTTTATGAAAAGGAACTTGAGTGATTCGTTAAAACGAAAACACACATAACTTTTGGGGAGAGCATAATTTTTTTTTCTCATAAGGATATGACAGTAGTAAAAACTTGGTCTTGAGTAACTTTGGAACGAAAAGATGTTGAACACTGAAACTTTGGGTTTGGTGGTTTCAAACGCATCGATGTATTGAATGCACGAAAAAGAGAAAACGTTTTTGCCGATGGTCTCATATACTCGATAGTCTCATGATTGCTCTCTCGAAATTATTCAATACAAAGATCAAGTTTTCGTATTTTCTTTTTGATTACTTGAAGGAAAATAACAATCCATACAACTGTTGAATATCCTTGAAAAAAGCCTTTTTCCATTACAGCTTTATAATCAAAAATATAAACAATTACTAGACCAAAAATAGTTCCAAATATAGCTATAAAATAATAATTAGATAATTAATATACATATGATATATTAGTTTTAACCTAATTGAATATTTCGAACCCAAACAGAAGTAGGTCCAGTTTTGAGTATTTTCTCAAAATAAACTCCAGCGAAGCCTGATGTTAATGTTGCCATTAATACAGCACCAAAACCAATAAACTGTTGTAACCAAGATTTCGAACTTTGTGTTTCTAAACGTTTATTAGCTTCATCTGAGGATGGCCACTACAAATATTTCGAATTATTTTTTTTCTATTTCATATTTGTCTTACTGTAACAAATGCAACACCAATCGCAAGCATACATAAAGATAACCATTGATGTTTTTGTATTTTTTTACCAAGCATAAAAACACAGCAAAGTGCTGTTGTTAATATTTTTAATTGATATGTCACTTGATAAGTTGCAGCATTTAAATAAGATAACGCAATAAACAGAAGATTATTTTGAATAGCATATAATCCACTTGGTATAGCTAATTTTAATGTTTCATATGGTTTACCATAGATTTCATCATTTAACTTTCTTATCAAACGATTCAATGAACAATCTATTTTAATTCTACATATCAGAAAAAAGAACTATGTTTTATTTTTATCTCCATACCTGTTTCAAACCAAACAAGAACAATACAAATTAATCCTTTAAGAAATTCTGAAGTAACAATAGCTGTTGATGATATATATGGTTCAGCTTTTCGTGTACGTGAATAACGTAGTACAAGAACAATGCCAGTTGTTTGAAGAATAAGTGATATCAAACTGATCAATTTGCGATTTTTTTGGTTAAATATCTTGAAAAAATATGATAATAATAGAATAATTCTTGCATAATATTTAACAAGCAAATGACGATAATAATTATAGAAAACAAAAGCAAAATGTGTATAAATACTTACTGGATGCATTTGTTTGATAATTGTCAAGAACAAAAGAAGTACTGTTAATGATAGAGATGAAAGTAATGACGACAATAAATCTAGAGAGCATAAGCAAGCATATGATATAAACATGTCTGGTAATGACATTGTTATGAAGATAATTATTAAATACAAATTCAGTTTGATACATAAATTAGATTGATATAATACAAAGAGAAATCCCTTACGATTATACATATATAAATATATATATATATATCAAAAGCAATACAGAAGAATTTTTCTCTTATTCATACCTCTATTGTCATTTTGCAGATCTGAAGAACAAAAAAAAATGTTTCGTAGTTAAACAGGTAACCATTGCTTATCATTGTCTTTTTTATTTCTTTAAAAGGAAAACAAAAAAAAAACCAAACAACCAAACTTTAACAACATTCTGATTCAAGAAGTTTTAATCCATTGCAATATTGAAAATCAGTACTGTTCACATAATCGCTTATGTCTAAAGCTACTTCACAACTTTCACGTACAACACGTTCTTTATCATTTAAATATGTTTCAAGAATATGTCGACATTCATCTGAACCAATTGAACCAAGTGTTTCAGCACATTCATGCCGTACCATATAATTTTCATTAAGTATTGATAATTGTTGACGAAGTGCTGGAATCGAACTTATTGATTGAAGTTGTCCAAGTACAAAAGCAATTTCATGACGAAATAAAGCACTTGATGCTTGGAAACCTACAACAAGAATTTAGTTTGTTAAGTAAATACATATTTAAAATTTTGTTTGTCATATTCTTATTGTCACTTGTATGTTATCACTGCAGATGTGTAGGAAAAAACTATAAGAACAAATGGAGCAAAACAAATTTTTGCATTTATTTCCTTTCTTCTATATTTCAATCTATCAGTACTATGTGAATATACTTGTCAGAAGTTATTAATTTATGCAGTCAAGTATCTTATCACGAATTTATATATATGTATATATACATGTATATATCGTCAGATCCGTTGAAAATTCATGTATATTTTTAAAATTATCAAAATAATTAATTCTTCCCAAAGTTTCTATAGTGGAAGGAAGAAAAAAATACCTCTATCTTTCGGCTACCTTGCAGTAGATACAATAGCCCGAGCTTCTCATACACTTTTAACTAGCCACCTACTAGCCATAATAATAGACATACATTACAACGTTGTCAGTATGGTATTGGCTGGATGACCCGAAATAAATAATCGTTAGTGACTTGTCTAGGATTATTCCATGACTAAGGTACTGAGCTTTACACATAGTACGTTATGAATCTGTGTGGAAAAACATAGCCGCTCAGTCGTGATGACTTTGGTTTCTATGCTGACACACAGAATAAATATAATTTATGTGAAATGTTTGCTTCATCTATTGAATAATATGATTATTATGATTTAAACTAAGCACAAAAAAAAACAATAGTACCTTCACAAATGGCAAGTACAGCCTCATCACTACCAATATTACGTAAAGCGAATAAAGCACGATAACGTTCAAACAGTGATCGATTTTCATCAAGTAAAATTTTTTTAAGTTCATCAATTGTTGTTAAAGTTAAAGCTGGAGCTGGATCAACGGTTGAATAAGTTTTCTCTATTGAATTCGAAGATGATTCATTACATACTGTTTTTCTTAACCATGCTAAACGATCAAGTGCAATTTGACATGTTTCAGAAATCTAAAAAAAATGATCTTTGTGAATAACGTCAAAAAATAAAATATTTTTCTTTTTATCTTACTTCTGCTCGTGGATTTTGACTTTGTTTAGTTAATGTATCAATTACATCTTGGTTATCAAAACATCCCAAAGCACCTAATGCTTCTCCTGAAATAATGAATATATTCAATTGTATGATTTTTTTTTGTTTATTACAAACCTGCTTCATGTCGTACCATTGTATCTTCATTTGAATCGTTTAATACTTGAATAAGTTTAGTAATAGCATTTTTGTTACCCATTTGACCAAGACAATAAGCACATTCATGTTTCAGTAATGCTGATGTATCATTGAATGCATGAGAAATAGCTTCAACTACAATTGGTGTCTTTTCCGATTGTTTTTTTTGGCCTTGACTATCGAGATTTTTTAAAGTAAATAAAATACGAAATCGAAGTTTAAGTGGTAATGATGTATCAATTAACATCGATGATAATTTTTCAATTGTTGTCTCATCAGCAATAGTCGACATGATAACTGGTTTCGAGATAGAAATTTTTGAGAAAGTAGCAAAAAAATTTCACTCACTCGTTCCTGTTATCGTTCGATTGGTTGATAATTATTAACCAATGTAAAGTTATATATTATCCTTCATAAAAGTATAATACTTCGAAGAAAATTAAATTTTTTAAATATAATCTAACAAATATAATGAAATTCGTATTATTTTTCTTATTATTTAATAAATGTACTTAAATTAAAATAATTCTTTCTCATAATCCTTCCTACATTACAAATCATCATGACTATATCTATCCATGTTAATCAGGTTTTTATCTACCTTTTTTTCTTTTCTTTCGTTATTTTACTATTGTGTGTGTGTACTTGTGTGTGCGAGTGCGCCGTTTTTTCTTTTGTTGGTATAAAAAAAAAAAAGTACAAAAAAACGAAAAACTTTTCTTAAATTTCACCTTTGTGTGAACCAAAAAAAACGTAAAATCTCGTTCAAAAGAAGAAAATACGTGAACTACCCCGTAACTTCTCGTTTTCTCCCATAACAATACAAAACAAAAAAAGTCGAAAAAACCAACAACAACAACGATAAACGATAAAAAAGGAAAAAAATATGGCAGCAACTAATATCAGTGCAGGAGCTCCGAGTTATCCAATGGCTTCATTATATGTTGGTAAGTTCAAATATTTTTCAAATTCTCTTCTAATAATAATTACAAATAGGTGATCTTCATCCTGATGTTACTGAGGCAATGTTATTCGATAAATTTGCAAGTGCTGGACCTGTACTTTCAATTCGAGTCTGTCGTGATATGATCACACGACGATCACTTGGCTATGCCTACGTTAATTTCCAACAACCAGCTGATGGTAGATAAAAATTACTTCAAAAATTGATCATAAAGATTTAATTGTTTTCAACGATGATTTGAGGAAAATAAAATCTTGATAGTATTTCCAAAAAAAAAACAAGATCTCTAGAAAATCGGAAACCTAGTTTTTCAGCATCTAAAATCCAAAACTAAAAGACTTTTGATTACATAGAATAATTAATGTTTCCGAGCTTTTCATAACATTTTTCAATGGAACTACATCGATATTAAGAAACTACTGAAAAAATAGTTTTTTCTCCATTTCCTAAAACAGAACTGAAAGAAAAAGAACTTAAAATTTATATAATTCAATTAAAAATAATGTTGCAGAGAGCTTGGAGATATGTCATTTTGTAGCAAATTGTTCTGTGTGATCAAAAAAAAAAACTTTTATTTTCAGGTAGTTGCTGCTGAAAAACTATAGATTGCGTTAACTGGAGATCTTTGATTTTATTTTTCTCAAAGTCTAGTTGGAAACAATTTTCTTTGTGTGAATAACCATTATGGAAAAGAAAATCAAAATTAAATGAATGCAAAAAAACATCAATATTTGATTATTTTTTAGCCGAACGTGCACTTGATACAATGAATTTTGATTTACTTCGCGGTCGTCCATTACGTATAATGTGGTCACAACGTGATCCAGCATTACGAAAATCAGGTGTTGGCAATGTATTTATTAAAAATTTAGACAAAAATATTGATAATAAATCACTTTATGATACATTCTCAGCTTTTGGAAATATTCTCTCATGCAAAGTATTTATTTATTCAAAAAAAAAAGCAAAATGAATACTTTCTAACAATTTTATTTTGTAAATATATAGATTATGACTGATGAAAATGGACAATCAAAAGGTTTTGGTTTTGTTCATTTTGAAACCCAAGAAGCAGCAGATAATGCTATTAATAAAGTTAATGGTATGTTACTTGCTGATAAAAAAGTATTTGTCGGTCGATTTATGTCACGAAATCAACGTGCTGATGCTGGTGGACCACGTAAATTTACAAATATATTTATAAAAAATTTTGGTGATCAATTAGATGAAGAAAAATTACGTGAACTTTGTTCAAAATATGGTAAAATAACAAGTTGTAAGGTAGAATTAATTTAAACAATAAAGAAAATATTAATATTTTGTAAATGTAAAGGTTGTTAGTGATGATAGTGGTCATTCGAAAGGTTTTGGTTTTTGCAGTTTTGAAAGTCCTGAAGAAGCTGAACAAGTAAATTATTAAATATTTATTATTATTATATCTTAGATTTATTTTAATATAGGCTGTTCAAAGTTTAAATGGTTATTCAATAGGTGATAAACAAATATATGTTGGTCGTTTTCAAAAAAAGAATGAACGACAATCAGAAATCAAACGTAAAAAAGAATTACAACGTCAAGAACGAATGAATAAATATCAAGGTGTCAATTTATATATTAAAAATTTAGATGATACTATTGATGATGAAAGATTACGAAAAGAATTTTCAAAATTTGGCTCTATAACAAGTGCTAAAGTAAAATTAATCGAATTTCCTTTTTTCTATTTATATATATATATGTTTTTTGTGTTTTAGATTATGTCTGAAAATGGTCGTTCAAAAGGTTTTGGTTTCGTTTGCTTTAGTGCACCTGATGAAGCAACAAAAGCTGTTACCGAAATGAATGGTTCAATTGTAGGCTCAAAACCACTTTATGTTGCTTTAGCACAACGAAAAGAAGAACGTCGTATGCATTTAGCTAATCAACATATGCAACGTATAGCAACATCACGTGTACCACCACCAATTCAACTACCATTTCCAAATAGTATGGCCGGTATGATGTCATATTTACCAACACCAATGGGTCCATCACAACCACGTAACTTCTATCCACCAACAGCATTACCAACATATCGACCAACGCCACGTTGGTCCGGAGCTGCAGGCGGTGGTATGAGACCACAACCAGGTATAATTAAAATTATCAATAGACTATTTCAATAATGAGAAGAAAGATGTCTGAGTGTCACACGCCGATATTTTTTCCACAAGTAGGTCTCACTGAGACTGAAAAACATCTAAAAGGATTTGTTCCTATACACTGTCTTTCTCGAGTTACAAGTGATTTTCTGCCTCAGGCGGAGCATAGATGTCCTGAAAGTGTTTACACATTGAAAATACTCACCGATCTTTATGACACATATCAAAGCTATCTATAGTCAAAATTTCATAACTGGATGTTTTCATAAATATTCTTCTAATCTTACTGAGACCTAGTTGTCGATAAAATATTGGCGCGTCATACTTAAAGACCCAATCTTATAAGAAAAATATTTCTTAACTAGGTGCACAAATGATTGCTGGTATGCAAATGCCACAGTCAATGGCTACAGCACAACATCGAACCGGTGCAATGAGTAATTTATCAGCACGATCAGGTATGCCAATGGCAACACGACCAACACCAAATCAAATGATGGCCGGTGGTGCTGTTCGACCTCAAACCGGTGTACAACAACAAAATACAGCTTATACACGTACAGCACGAAATTTACCACCAAGTGTAAATTTTTGTTTTTTATTTGAATATTTTCAACGAAAAAACCAACAATTTTTCTCATTATAGAATGCGGGCATTTTTCCTAATTCAATAGTTGTTGCTGGTCAAGAACCATTAACACCAGCCGCTCTTGCTAATGCAACACCACAAGAACAAAAACAAATGTTAGGTGAACGCTTATTTCCATTAATTCAACAAATGCAACCAGATTTAGCCGGCAAAATAACTGGTATGCTTCTCGAAATTGATAATACAGAACTTCTTCATATGCTAGAATCACGTGAATCACTTAAAGCAAAAGTATGTTTTATAAATTATTTTAAAAGAAATAAATAACATAATGTTTTTTTTAAATTTTACAATAGGTTGAAGAAGCTATTGCTGTACTTCAAGCTCATCAAGCTAAACAAATGTTTGTTGCTAAACAAGCTGCAACAAATTCAACTACTTCGTAGAGAAAAAGAAGCGTGTGTTTTTTTTTTCACTTCTCTCTCGTTTGTTTTTTTTTCTCTCTTGTCGTCATAAAATACAAGCAAACACAGTCACACATAGATTTTGTCTTTTATGTTTTTCTTTCCATTATCATGAGCAGTTCAATCACATGGAAACATTTTTTTTTGTTAACTTCTATTTACTCGTTTTCATTTTTTTTCTTTTCTCCTGTTCCGTTTGTTTTCGTTCATTCATTTATTATTATCACTTGTTGTTATTATGCGCGAAAAATATGACGCGTTTTTCAAAAACAAGATTATTATTATCATCATTATAAAACAAGACTTCAAAAAAATAGAAAAACTATTGAAAAAAAAAACTCTTCTTTGATTCTATAACTAGGTTCTTGCTGTCTGTTGTTGTTATTGCGTTTCATTTTTTCTGATATTAAGATATCCATAGTATTCATTTCAATTTGAAAATATCTTAATTGATTCAGAAAAAACAGAAATTGGTCAAACATATATATGTGTGTGTCCTTGTGTTTTGTCTTTGAAGAGATCAATAAAATAGAAACCTTTCTGTTGAATTTCTATTTCTATTGATAATGTAAAAAAATTCAAATGATTGTCAAACAAGAAAAGTAAGTAACAGTAAATCTTATGATTGAATCAATTATATTATCTTTTATTTTTTGTCGTATTCTATAAATTGAAGTGATAAGAACATAATAAAATTTTACTATATAAGAAAAAAAACGAAGACACACGACAAAAAATTTTCTTCCACAATTAGCCATGAAATCTATTGTATTTCTATTAGAATTGTTTATTTATATACAATGTGAGATTACATATATTGAAGTAAAATATCCATTAAAGGTAAGATAACGAGAGTACTTGCGCAGTTTTTCTTTATTTATCAGTCATTTGAGACAAGAAAAAAGATAGGTGATAGTTGAAAACAAATGCACGCCGGACAATGTCAATTGTTGATAAGTTTTTTGATTGGTATTATTTCAGCTGAAATCGAATTTATTGCTGTTCGACTACCATTGAAAGTAAAGTACATCCTTTATGAGTTTAACTTTCTCATGAAACAAATATTTTACAATTTAACGGACAAAGGTGTTTATATCTGAACACCGATAACGCAACGATATGTTTAAGAATATGATAACTATATAACTTCATACGAAGTAAAGAAGATACTCTCCCAAAAAATATTCTATTCCAATAATTCTCTTTAGCAGTTGCAACCTATCTCTCGAAAAAACTTTATTTATTAAGTCATAATATCGGGAAACATGTTCGATGAATTATGATATTTTCAGGGAGAACATTCACCACCAAATGCAGTATGGCCACATCCACAACAAATCATTGCTTCAAATGAATTGCTCTATATTCGGCCTCATGATATCATGATTCATTCTAATATTCGAACATGTGATATTATTTCAAAAGCTATTGAACGATATGAACCAATTTTCTTTCCACCAAAACTTTCAATGAATGAACCACCATCTAATGCTGATAACATTCTACAAAATTTAACACTAAATATACGTGATAATCCTCAATGTGAACAATATATTCAACAAAATTCAGATGAAACTTGTAAGAAAAAATTATTATCGTATAGCAGGGATTATGTCATTTGATTATTTCTCATTCATACGTAGATACTTTAACGATCAATAACAAAATAGCGATTGTTGAAGCAACTAGTGTTTGGGGTTTATTACGTGGTCTCGAAACATTTTCACAACTTATTTATATCAATGAACAAAACTATGTAAGTTCACTTTCAATACATCATAATTTTATATATTTATCGCTATTATTTATCTAAATTCTTCTTTCAAAGGTTGTTATTAATGATTCTGTGACTGTTATTGATAGTCCTCGTTTTCAACATCGTGGTGTTATGCTCGATTCAGCGCGACATTTTTTACCAGTACCAATTATTAAAAAGAATCTTGTAAGTTNCCACGATTTTGGCCAAAAGCATCTGCTGTAGCTGAACGATTGTGGAGTGCTGCAAGTGTTAATAATTCTGAAGATGCTCAATTTCGATTGGTAAACTTAATTTTTACAAGTATCTCTAGTCATTTGTTTTTTGACTAATTTCAGGATGTTCATCGATGTCGTTTATTGAGGTAAATGAAATAATAATTTATATATGAATTTAATTGTGTTTGTTTTTTTTTAGACGAGGAATACCTGCTCAACCAATTTTGGGTGGTTATTGTGGCAATTATGAATTAGGCATGCCAGAATCGATGATTAACGATCCAGCGTTCAATTATGAAAACTATACTCCGACGAATTCGACGACAACATCAACACAAAGTTCAACCAACTCTTCATCGGGTAGAACCGGAATTTTCAATTTAAAAGTTTATCATATTCTGTATACAATATTATTTCGGTTCTTCATATTTAAATTCTAAAAAATAATGACATCATGATTCTTGATAGAAAAACTTTGCTGTAGTTAATCGATGCTAATTTGTCATGTAATTTGATCTTTTCAATAAAAATAACTAATAGAGAAGTATTTTGTAACAAAAACATATCTAACTTAGACCTGACGGTAGAATGTAGAAGAGTTAGTAAAATTGTCCAATAAACAATTGAATATATAAGGTTTCTTTTCATAATAGAGTAAATGTTTTGATTGTCAAGGTGACAAATGCATGAAAATTGGAATAAATCTTATTTTGTTCATTCTATGTATGATTCGGAATTTAATTAGTAACTAATCTTTAATAAAGAAATATACTCTTCGATCGTAATAGAATTTGCTGTTTTTTTACTATATTTTATGAGTAATATAAATTAGATAATAGACATGAGAGTTTATAAATATATTTAGACGCACATTTTGTTTTACAATGCTAATCATATCAAATCCAGAATTATTATTGTTCGCGTATTTCATGCCAGGTAATAAACAATCAATGACATTCATCTTTCTTAGCAATGGCCTATTCGATAAAAAAGAGAAAAGCAAATATTTGTTATATACGTATAGTGGCATTCTGTCTCATCCATGTAATCCATTTAATCTCAATAGCCCGACAAATTATCATTTAATTATTCAAAATTGTCATATGAAGTAAATCACACGATTTTATGTCACATTTATCTCGCCGGTCGTAACAGCAGACGAAAAAAGAATATATCATTGTATTATTGGATGACTGCATGGTTACTTGAATTTGACTAATAAAAAATAAAAATACTAAATCTAATTCATCAGAAAGACAAAAAAGAAACTAAAAGGGTTTTTCGGGCAAGATCAATATCTTATGTTTTATCGTTTTATTAGCTGTTAAGAGATTTGAAGTGAGTGAGAACAAAATAATCTAGAAGGTTTATGAATTGACAAAAAACACTTTTATTATCTACAACGCAGACTTAATGATTTCATATACGAAGAAATTTATGCTACATCGATTATTTCTGTTACTCTCCTTAGTAACGTTCACTTTAAGTGAAATCGAATTCATTGCTGTTCGACTTCCATTAAAGGTAATTAATTTTTTTAATCAAGTTAAGTCTAATATTCGAACGTAATATCTAAACTTTTTGTCATATAACCTCAAAATGAGAATATTTCTTTCGTCAATATGCTGAAACGTGTCTATTCATGAGTTGAATAGAGATTGAACTATTCGAAAAACTTTCAGGGAGAACGTTCACCACCAAATGCAGTATGGCCACATCCACAACAAATTGTTGCTTCCAATGAATCGCTCTATATTCGTCCTCATGATATCATGATTCATTCTAATATTCGAACATGTGATATTATTTCAAAAGCTATTGAACGATATGAACCAATTTTCTTTCCACCAAAACTTTCAATGAGTGAACCACCGTCTGATGCTGATAACATTCTACAAAATTTAACACTAAATATACGTGATAATCCTCAATGTGAACAATATATTCAACAAAATTCAAATGAAACTTGTATGTAAAATATTAGGATGTAGGCAAATTATAATGAGCACTCCAAATGTTTTTTGCTAGCCTTTTAGACAAGTATTCAAAGGCTGTTTCTAGTATTGTTTTAAAGCGAAAAGAATTCACATAAGTTTAGGTCTCGAGAATATGCCAGATTTGGATATGATTCCGTATAGTGTTCTGTTAGAAATGCGTTACTATGTCAGCCTTTCTGTGGCTTCGTATTTTCATAGCAAGAACTTGTGCTAGATAGCTATTGACAATGTAACTTCTCTTTGTTGGATCCTAATAGTATAGACTTGCTTAACTCAGATTTCATGACAAAACAAAAGGGCAGAATTGATTTGTCTGACCTTTTGTTTCGATGACTCTTTGCTGTTTCTAGATTACTTTGTAACGCGTCAACTTTTGACCACTCTATTATACTTTGATCATTATGATCAAGCTATGATCTATCACTAGCAATAACGTACAATACAACTTATGACGAAATTATAGTTACAGCGTCATCTACATATACGTATCGTCAATCAGAATCAAGTTTAATTATTCTTGAAGTAGAGTTAAAAGTTTCTTCAGTCATAGTAAAGGAGGATGATCTGAATGAACCACATCTTCGATGTTGACATTCTTCTGTTGAACGAAATAAAACATAAACTAATGTACTAGTCATGTAAAGTCATGCTTTCAAAAAAAAAAAGAACACAATACGTAGAAAGAATCAAATTTCTCACATAATTCCACATATGACTGAGAATTGTAATAGAAACACTGCACTCAATTTACGACTTTTAGAAAATTCAAACGAAAAGCATACGACATCTCGTATGCAGGTTATTTGATTATTTCTCATTCATACGTAGATACTTTAACGATCAATAACAAAATAGCGATTGTTGAAGCAAGTAGTGTTTGGGGTTTATTACGTGGTCTCGAAACATTCTCACAACTTATTTATATCAATGAACAAAACTATGTAAGTTCACTTTCAATACATCATAATTTTATATATTTATCGCTATTATTTATCTAAATTTTTCTTTCAAAGGTTGTTATTAATAATTCTGTGACTGTTATTGATAGTCCTCGTTTTCAACATCGTGGTGTTATGCTCGATTCAGCGCGACATTTTTTACCAGTACCAATTATTAAAAAGAATCTTGTAAGTTGATCAAATGAAACGTGTTATTCAGACTTGTGTCTTTTAATGTCATTGTAGGATGTAATGGCTTATAATAAATTAAATGTATTTCATTGGCATCTTGTAGACGATCAATCATTTCCATTTCAAAGTACAACTTTTCCAAATCTATCTCGAGCTGTAACTGAATATTATCATTTTGAATTTTGACTATCAATTGATAATGTTTATAGGGAGCTTTTTCGACTTATCATGTATATACACCAGCAGATGTTAATGATGTTATTGAACATGCTCGATTACGTGGAATTCGTGTCATTCCTGAGGTTTGTCAATTGTAATTATTTTTGATTTTCTGTTCTTCTTTTCGAAACATTAGATTGATACACCTGGTCACACATATTCATGGGGTAAATCAATGCCAGAATTAATAACTCCATGTTGGGCAAATGGAAAACCATATCAAGCTATTTATGGAATACAAGGTGCAATGGAAATATTTAATCCAATTGAACCGCGTGTTTATTCAACAATGGATGCTTTACTTCGAGAAGTAAAAAGTAGATTTCCTTCCAATTATATTCATCTTGGTAAGTTAATTGATGATTTATCAAAAATACAATTCATTATGTTTTGATCTAATCTTTGAGGTATGGATGAAGTATATGATAAATGTTGGTAAGTTATTGTTGAATGTTAAGAAATATTGCATGAATAGTATCGAACTTTTTTTAGGCTTTCTAATCCTAACATTACTCAATGGATGATTGATAATAGTATTAATTCTACGAAAGGTATTCATGCATATTATGCAGATAGAATCTTAGATATTACACGTAATATCAATGTTGTACCTATTGTTTGGCAAGATGTTTGGGATGAAAAAGTTGAAGTAAGATTTTTCATGATTATGATAATCAATCGATAATTATTAATTAATTTAGTTACCATCTGGCACTATTATACAAGTATGGAAAGATACTAGTGATAATAGTGCATTTGGTTCATGGGCTTCATATTTGAATGAAGCAGCTAATGAAGGTTATAATGTAATACTTTCAAGTCCTTGGTATATTAATTATATTAGTTATGGCAAATACAATACAAATACATCTGTGATGAATTTAGAATTTTTTAAGTATTATGAAGTTGAACCACTTCGTCTCTTTAGTGGTAAAATCATAGTTGAATAGTTAATTCAATTGATTATTTATGAATATTATAGGTTCTGATGAAGCAAAGAAACGTATTCTTGGTGGAGAAGCTTGTCTATGGGGTGAATTTGTTGATGGTACTAATTTATTACCACGATTTTGGCCAAAAGCATCTGCTGTAGCTGAACGATTGTGGAGTGCTGCAAGTGTTAATAATTCTGAAGATGCTCAATTTCGATTGGTAAACTTAATTTTTACAAGTATCTCTAGTCATTTGTTTTTTGACTAATTTCAGGATGTTCATCGATGTCGTTTATTGAGGTAAATGAAATAATAATTTATATATGAATTTAATTGTGTTTGTTTTTTTTTTAGACGAGGCATACCTGCTCAACCAATTTTGAGTGGTTATTGTGGAAATTATGATTTAGGCATGCCAGAATCGATGATTAACGATCCAGCGTTCAATTATGAAAATTATACTTCAACTAATTGGATAACAACAGTAACGAGATTAAGTTCAACTACATCCTACCCAGTGAATAGTGCTTCATCAGTAATTGTATCAACTTGTACGAGTTTAATAATAATAATGAAAATAACTCTCGTTACTATTTCATTTTAAATATTAATTTAAATATTGACATGTTTTTTTATTTTCGATACCGATCAATCAAAGAAAAAAATTTTACTCGATCTACAGGCATCATTCATTTTTCTCTTCGCTCCTCATATATTCATTTATTAGTTATGAAGGACATCAGAGTAGGTGCTATAGTTGTGTGTAATTTGATCATTTCAATAAATATGTGCAACAGAAACAAAAAATTGTCTATGAAACTAATAAAAAGAGAATAGATAAGATGGGGGCGTTGTAAGAAGCACTACCTTCAACATCATCTGTGTGAATGTTAGCATTTTGTATGTACAGAATGCAGGAAAAACGGCAACAGATAAAACTACCATCAGCATGGCAACCAGATAGATGGATCTGTCATCATACTAGTCATCGACAATCAGCAATAATGGATGATCATGATCATCAACAATCGAGAGGAAAACTATTGACTTATAGTAGAAATATAAATTCATCTTCATCTTCGCCACGTATAAGTACAGCAAAATTGAAAGAGCGTAAGTATTTTTTTTTGTCTTATATAAAAATTTATCCAAAATATTCATCTATTATGTTTGTTTCTTTTTTTTTTCTTTTAATAAATTTCAGGAATAGAAAATTTAAGTTTGAGAAGTGCCGAATATCGTCTTTCTGCTTCTAAATCAAAACTTAAACGTTTAATTGATTCATACAGTCCAAAATCTCATAAAAGTTTGTTATCATATTCAAGTCGTCGTCCTCTTACACCTACTTTACATATTCCTAAAATGTCAAAACAAGCTTTAAAACGATGGCTTGATGCTCGAGATGCATATCTTGGTCATCAATATCCATATAAACAAGAAAAATCTGAACATCATCGTCGCCGACGTCGACGACAAAAAATAAAATCAATTAAAGAAGATGATAAGATGATTGATTATGAAGCTATATCTATGTTTTCTATTGATTCAGATCGATTTCATATATCGGAACGAAATCTAAGTGAAAAACAACGTCAATCAAGTCGAAAAGAAAGTCCTACTAAAGTAGATAATCAATCTCAAGCAAATCTTCGTCATAGTGGTGGTTTATTACAACGTGTTAAATCATTTGTACAATTACCTGTTCGTTCATCGAGTCGTCTTTCACAACAAAAACAAGAAGAAACTAAAACACAAATTATACATGATCATTTTGATGATAAATGTATTGGTACAGAAATAAGTGAACCAATTATATTTCAAAGAAATATAGAACGATATGATAAAGCTATACAAGTTAATTTAGCACGTCCTCAAATTGAGTTATATCATGAATTTGATACAAGTATGGTTGAAGGTGAAAAAAAACCGCGAATACGATCTGTTCAACAATATGTCGAATATAGTGACAAAGCAACAGAGACAGAATTCATATTAAATTTTGCAAATGTCGAGAAAGAAAAAAAAGAACAAAAAGAAGAAAACGAAGTCAATGATGATGATGATAAGGCCACTCGACATAGTATAAAAGAAGAACAAGAAGAAATCGACTCATATATAGAACCAAATAACGTTCAACAAGAACAACAACAACAACAACATTCCTTATCAAAGATGTCTGATACAAATAATGATAAATTAAAAAATAATGAATTCATTCAATCATCAACATTTACTAATACAGGTAATCGTATTGTACCATTAACAGATCTATTTCAAACATCAAATAATGATGAAATCGATCATGATAATAAAGAAAATGGATCACGAACAACCATTGTTACATCAACAGAATCAAATATTTCCATTCATGAACAACTTCAAAGGTAGAATGAAACTAAAATAAAAAAAAAAGAAAACTTTCTTACATCATGATATGACATGTTTTGTTTTGTTTCGTTTTTCTAAGAGAGATTATATACATTACTTCACTCTGTCAATACACTTTTTTCTTCAGTTAGATGAACTCACTTATTCTGAGCATACATTCATACATATATGAGAATAGAAGAGAGAATGCGCGTTGTCTTGGTACCCAACTATACACATTCATATAGAGACTATTGAAAGAATACATACATAAAAAGTGAGCAAGAAAAAGAACGAATAAACTTACAGATTTATTCGAACAGTCAACTAAAGTGATATTTGAAAGGTATCTTTGAATTTTGTCATGCAGTCAGTATAAATGACTGATCATGTTTTATCATTATCATCATCCATACCAACTTTACTTGAAACAAAATCCGATCATTGCAGACTACGGATTCGTTTCAATCAATTATCACGAGAACGTCGACTATTAACTTGTCTTCTAATTCTATTTGCTATTATTATGTTTGGTCTACTTATTGGTATTTTTATTTTATCATGGACATTTCAAGGTAAATTATTTGCTAGTTTGAGAAAAGATTTTCTATATTATACAAAATAATGAATAAAATATCTCTTTTTTTTTCCTCAATTACATATTACTCTCATTTTCTTTCTTTAATTAAACATAATTTCTACAGATAAAATACTCATTCCTAGGACGAACTCCGATTATCTATCGAGAAATAAATTCGACTAATATTGGTACCAGTGATGGAGGTAAACAGAATTCTTGAGTCTATTTTTTTAAGACTTTCTAAACACTTATTGATAAATTTACACGCTATTCTTAACACATTTTTCTCACTCGAAATATCTAGTCATACAGCAAAATGAACGACAATTGTTGGCATTGGTTACCAATATCAATCCGATTATATCAACAGACATTATTCATACAACATTCATGACTACTACTATTCAAATGACAACAAACACAGAAAAACAACGTATGAGCATTCTATTATGCTAATACGAATAACAAAAAAAAAAAAACAAACACTAGTGTTCACTAGATTTCTTTTGCTAAGCATTCTTCAGCGCACACTTTCCTGCTTTGAGTTCAGTCTTTTATTCTTTTTAACTTTATCTTCTTTTTTTTTTAATTAAATGAAGTATTGAATCAAAATAATTATTATTTTCTTTGTCTCTATTTAATTAGTTGCTCGTTATGGTGAATCATGCGATAATGATAGTGGTTGTGAACGTCCATTTATATGTCATAAAAAAGGAGCATCAACGCCAGGCATGTGTCGATGTCCTTTAAAATATGATTTCATAAAAGATCAATGCAGTAAGTGTAATTTATATTGTAATTATTCGAATAATGTAATTTGATATTAGTTGGTGATCTGAATGCTTTGTGTACGAAAGATATCGATTGTCAACAATATATGCTCTGTTCAGGTATGAATGATGGAACACGTCGATGTCAATGCCAGAAACAATTCGAATACGATTATGATAGACGACGATGTCGTAAGTATATTCGAAAGAGAATATTACTTAGATAAATAAAAATTTGACAATAAATACATTCGTACATCTTATCTTTTAAAGTTTGAAATTTATTTAAAAAGAAACACGCTTTTCTTATAGGTGGTGATTATGAAGCTCCATGTGAAAGTAATATCGATTGTCGAGCAAATCTTGTGTGTAATAAAACAGTAACACCATCCGTTTGTTCTTGTGAATCACATTATCAATATCATCCATCAGTACGCAAATGTCGTGGTGATCCAGGTGCTGTTTGTGATCGAGCTACAGCTGAATGTGTTGACAATGCTGAATGTCGCGATGGAGCATGTGAATGTTCACATCAATTTATACCTGATGAAAATAAAATATGTTGTACGTAGATTAATAAAATATTTTCGAATTGATAATATTGAAGTTTTTTTTTCCACTTCTATTGATTTAGTTGATCCATGCCCGCCACAAATACCAAATCCTGCACGAATTCGTTATCCGGGTAATTGTCGACGATTTATTGATTGTCAACAAAAGTAAGAAATAATCAAAAAATGTTAAGATTTATTAACACTTTCTTTCTGATTATATTAGATCGAAAACTGAATGTCCAGAAATGACATTATTCAATCTACGTACTCAGCTTTGTGACTATCCTAAAAATGTGTTTGATTGTCGATAAAAAAAAATTCTTTTTTTGCTCCTAGTATTATTTATTTATTTTTTTGTATGACAAATGAATTTGTCAAATTCTTTAAAGAGTTTCATTTTCTTCTCTTATGCTGTTTATGTGAATTCAATAACACATTTTTGTCAAATTTTGCGATATACACACAAGAAAATAGCTTTTAAATAGAATCATGTTGATATATATTTCTCAAATTGGACACTGAATCAGTGACTTCGTGTAAAAAATGCAAACTTAAAATAAAGTCTATTGAATAATGTTCATGTTTAATTGATCCAATCGTTCATATTGGTAGCCGTCATAGTCTTTCTTTTGTAGTTTATATTACTTTCTTTTTTAATGAAATTAGTCAGAATCTGCATATTAAAATGTATAAAGTAGAACTTCTCTCGGAGCAATTCATATTTTTTGAAAAAGACTATTGAATTTCAAAAAGCTTTTTAAACAACAGGTTTCTTTTTTTTATAATTTGCTTCGATCGTAAGAGAAAATGCATATAAGTTTGACACTTGTGCTGCGTCATTGGCAGAAGTGAACAAGTTGTTCAGAACTTATATGTATGTCATGCAAGGAGAGAAAAGTACGACTCGAGTACTTCGAAGTACTGAAGTTGCACTTTTTCTCTCTTGACGTAATGTCACTCGTTGCTAATCTCCTTGAGCATAACTCTTGAATTGCTGTCAATGACATTCAATGATGCTTTTAACATGTTCTTAAATTTTGCTTTACTACTTATTGGAATGTCGTGATTTACCTTTTGACACAATTTCTCTTAAGTTAACTTTGTGGAATCAATGCTGTCGTATGAAAGAAAATGACATGTATGATCAGAGACGCTGTTACTTTTCGAGATATATAATACTATTATAATTATGAAGCTTTTGGAATAGTTCAATAAAGTACTTATTCACAAAATAGTTGGAACATTATTTTATTCATTGTAGGACTTGGTTGAATAAAATCATGTACAGCATATAAATAACATTCGGTTACTTCTTCCAAGTTACTTTGTAGTA